TGGCGAACGCCAGATGTTAACGCTAGCTGAAATCAGCAATATTAAATAATGAATAAATAAATAAACAAACATGAATGTTTGTAATACTATGATATTTTTAATAATCTTTCTCAATTAGTTTATATGGAAGAACTTCATAATAATAATTTGTTGACTGGTGACGATTGCACGAAGGAGGCAATGACTACCAGTGCCTTGGAAAGTTTGATTCCTTTCCACAGAAAATAAAATGGAATCACCCGCTCATTTATCAGGTTTTTTCCTGATTTTCGGATGAAAATCATCTTAACATCTCGTGAAATAATTCTCGAGACGCTGTCAAAGTGACAAAATATTTTAAAACTGAGAATCTTCAGATTATTGGGATCAAACATTGTTAATCCTGAATGTATCATTGTGTCCAAGGACACAAGAAGCATCCCTAGATGTATTCTGAGGATGTTTCAATGAGTGCAACGATGATTCCAATTAAATGGAGTTGGCCTTCAACCTGACTAGTATCCAGATGGTATTATCAACAGGTAAATAAGACACAAAAAACATTCGTTTGTTTTTTAATATAAATAATTGATTAAAATTACGAATGAACAATTCGTATTTTATAAAACAAAAACAGATTCACTGAATCAATATTCGGGGAAAAATTCCCTCTCCAAAGTCCAACTCTGAATATCGGATTTCTACTCTTCTCAATTAAATTGATGAAGAATAATATCATTTATAAATAAACTGACTCATGGTTTCCTGACTTATCAACGTTGAGCCAAATCCTCACGTTGTTGTGGATGAAGTCACTAAAAAGGTTTCAATACTGATCTCTTGATAAGCACATGGATGCTTCTGGCTCAGATTTAATTTATTTAATCATTTTTTATTTTTTCTCATTCATTGAGTTAACAAAGTGCTCATAACTCCTAACAACTGAATAATCAGTGAATTACAGAAAATATGAGAACATATTTCAACTTTATTTGGTTTTCACCATCTTCTACATGAAAAAACATATAAATCCCTCACGAAGCCAATGTGCAGTTTCTTAAACCGAATGGGCTTGCGTCAAATATCCCTCAAATAAAACTTTTGATGAAAAAATGAAATCACAAATGACAACTTTACGGAGCTGTCCGACAAGGCTGTTCGTTGCAAAATTGAATTTTGCCTCATCCCACCATGAACGGTTCAGAAAAAGGGAATGAAAATTTGTTTTGAATGGATATATCCAATTTCTTCGTTGAATCTCAAATATGCGTAGTATTGCTGAATTTAGTTTCTCACAAAACATTCTCATGTGAATCTTAGTCAAAGCTTCACATTTTTTGTTGAAAAAAAAAATTGACAGGAAAATCAAACAAAAGCCAATTGTTACCATACATTTTTCTTTTTTGTGGGCAGATTTTCGTGGGTATAATTAATGAAAACTCCATTTATCGCTCAATACTCACAAAACCGGGTTTTATAGCTGAATCTTATTCAGCAAGAAATGATAATAATATTCATTATAATAATAACAAATAATCAAATGAATGAATACATACATAATCATGAGTAAGCATCATGATTTTTAACCATAGTGCAAAGTTATGAAAATAAGCATTCATTTACTGAAATATATTTTTGAGCTATCTCAAATGACGAATACATAATTGATTGAAACGATTTTCTTATGTTTTCTAATTAAATCCTTGAAAAATAAAGGAATTACAAGGCTAGTCCTGAACTTTGTTGTAATACAATATATGTTAGACCAATGTAGAAAATTTTTACTTCAATCTTACTCTTGGAGAAGCACGATTTATCAATATGAAATAACTTCCTCAAGCAGTGCCCCTGCAGATTGGAATTGATAGGAAGAATGTTTTCTTTCTATTTATTAAAAAATCGAAACATCACAATAAGTAAGAATAAGCGGAATTTCAATTGCAAAATAAGACTTTTCTAATCACAGCCTTTTTTGCCAACTCGATTTCTTTAATTTTGAGTTTGTTCAAGATTTCTAATTTAAGGAATTGCAGAAAAAATAAATTGAAAAAATTAATCATTTCATGACCTATTCTACGTAAGGCAAAAAGCATACGTGATTTTATTCTTTGAAGTCAGACGAACATTCTAAAGAAAAGAAAACCTGGATCGTATGAAAACTATGGTGCAAGGAGCATTTTTCACGTAAAAACACGCAAAATTACGATTTACGTTAAAATACGGGGCAAAATGGGTTGGGTCCATCATTTTTCCAACTCTTTCATCACCCCCATCATGTATCAAAAGTTGTTCGGTGGATCCCGTCACTAATCGCAGACTTCAAAGTTTTACGGGGGTCCCGCCTTAATATTTGTTATTGACAATTGAAAATTTGGTTCATCGCTCATTGTTTTCTTACTCTAAATGAAGTAATTTACCCAGATTCCGGAAAAAAAGATTATGCGCATGGTAATCGACTGGCAAAAAAAATTCAATAAATTTTCATTTTTAGTTTCAGTTATATAACTAACAAACTACCGAAACGATTCAACTCAAAATTTAATCAGGTCCAAGTCTCATTGAGGCGCATCAACTTATCTATATATTTTATTTTTTATTTATTCATATCGTTGGTGTTACAAATGTTTTTGTTTGTTTTACACCTACGTAGTCCTCCTCCTCTCCTTAATATCTATTAACATCAGTTATATCAAATTATATAAAATTTTCTCTGTTCATTTTTTCTATCATCCTTTATCCTAATTCTCCTTTATATTAGCTAATATTTAGTATCACTGTTCGCCCTCACTTATTTGTCGCTTTTCTCATTTTTTTTACACTGTCCCCCCTTTTTCCTATACTGTTGTCTTCTCAGCTACTCCTAGCCCTCCTTGTCCTCTCTTTGGTTTCTTCCTCTGCTTCCTTCAGCGCCTTCTCGATCCTTGCTAATCTCTCGCACCCTTTCTTTCCAGGTTTCTCTCTTAACTCCATCAGAAACCTCTCCCTCCAGTTGATTCTGCCATACTTCCTCCTCCATTTTCTCCACCAGCTCCTATCCTCCTCTCTTAATCTCCTCATTAATTCCTTGCAGCTTATCACATGTTCCAGTCTTTCTGCCTTTTTTCCGCATGCCCTGCATTTGTCGTTTTCAAAGCCGCTCTTTCCTCCTCTCAGCACGTGTCCGCATCTCCATCTTGCTGATGACACCTTCTGCTCTATCCCTAGCCTCCTATCCCCCCAATACTCGCTCATCGTTGTGTCCTCCTTCAACTCTCTATGTATAGTAGTCGCAGTATCTCGACCTTTCAATCATTTCACAATCCTCCTGCTTTTCCTGGTCCTCTAAGGTTTTCAGCAACTCCAGGAGTCTTTCCTCCGCCTCTGCCTCTCTCCCTTCCCACAGCAGTTCCAGAAATACCCCGTCTCCTAGCGATCTCAGCTTCCTCTGCACTTCCTTTCCCCAGTTCGTAGCCTGTCCATTTTTTATTCCTCTCAGTTCCTCCCTCAAGCACTTCCTTGCCCATCTACTCTCGTCCATCTTGCTCAGTTTGATCAAGAACCCTGCCGCTCTCCTCACTGCCTCCACTTCCACACTACAAGTTCCTGCCTCCATTCTCCAAATATAGTCCGGTGTGTTTCTTGCCAACCCCATGCTAGCCTTTATGTACTTCTTCTGCACCCTCTCTACATTCTCCTGCCTTTTCCACCCCCATAGCTCTACTCCATATAGTGCCGCAGCCTTCACCGTCACCCCCATGAAGTATAGCCTCCTCCTCAGGTTCTTCAGCTTTGCCCTCGTCATTTCCCCCCAAGTTTTATTCACCATCGATTGTGCTTTCCCCGCCAATTTCCTCGTGTGCTTTGCATACGAGTTTCCCGTTGTGAACCAGTAGCCCAGGTACTTAAATTCTCCTACTACTTCCAGCTTTTCTCTTTTGTATCTCCATTCTTCTCGTTTCCTTTTTCCTCCCTTCCTGAATATCATTATTTTGGTTTTTTCTACGCTCACCACCATTAGATTCCTATCTGCCCATTTCTCCAATGTCTTCAGCATCTTTTGTAGATCCGACGCCTCTTCTGCAACTATTGCTGCATCATTGCATACATTAGTGCAAATATTTTCACCTTCCCTCCTTAGCTAATCGGTGTGCCCCCCTCGCCCCTCCTTTCTAGGTCCGCCACCATATCCTGTATAAAGATGTTAAACAGGATAGGACTCAGCGGACAACCTTGCCTCACTCCCTTCCTCGTTTTAAATTCCTCCGTCAACTCTTCTCCAGCGATTACCCTATTCCTAGTGTCTTCGTATATTTTCCTCGTCATCCTCAAGAACCTTCCCCTTATTCCCAGCCTTTTCATTTTTTCCCATAGTCTGTTCCTGTCCACTTTGTCAAAAGCGGCCTTAAAATCTATGAACGCCACATACAATTTCCCTCCCTTTTTCTTCAGCCTGTTCCCAATTAGTGTGTTTAAAACCAATACCTGCTCCATCGTCCCTCTTTCTCTCCTAAATCCTGCCTGCGCCTCCGATAGCTTTTCCTCTTCCTCTAACCAGTTTCCCAACCTCCCAGCCATTATTGATGCTAGTATTTTGTAGCCGATGTCCAAAAGCGATACCCCTCTGTAGTTTGCCGCAACGTTCACATCCCCTCTCTTGTGGATTGGGAAAATCGTGGCCAAGTTCCACCTATGGATTATTTCCCCCTGTTCCCATAGTTCCTTAATTATTTCGTTCAGCTCATCCATCCCCTCTTCTGGTAAGTTTTTCCAGAATTCTGCAGTTACTCTATCCTCTCCTGCTGCCTTCCCCCTCTTTAATTTAGCTACTGCCCTCAAAATCTCCCAATCCGTAACATCTCCATCCAGTTTGACATCTTCTATTTGTTGCTCAAGTCCCCTCCCCTGATCTTTTTCCGCGCTTCCATCTGTTTCCTCAACTAACTCTCTCTCCGTCCGGCTCTCGTCCTCTGCTTCTAGTAGTTCCTTGAATTGCCTCAGCCACCCTTCCTTCTTCACATTATTGCTCTCTCTTCTTCCCTTGCCTAAACCAGTTCATCGCCTTCCACCAGTCTGCCATTGTCCTCCCCTGTGCTACTTTCCTCTGCTTTTCCTGTATCCATTCCATCACAAGCCCTGACCTCAGTTTTCAAAGCTTTTTCTTCGACTGGTTGTATTTCCTTTTAGTTTCCCAATCCCTTTTTTTCCTGAATTTCTTTAAGCTTTTAAACATTACCTGTCTTTCTTTCTCATATTGCCCATTATCCCAGGCTGCCAGGTCTCTTCGTCCGCCGCTCACCGTCATCTTCACCTCCTGTGCTGTTTCAGTCGTTACCTTCACCAGTTTCTCCCATCTCTCCCCTAGGTTCTTTCCCTTCTCTNATTTCCTTTTAGTTTCCCAATCCCTTTTTTTCCTGAATTTCTTTAAGCTTTTAAACATTACCCGTCTTTCTTTCTCATATTGCCCATTATCCCAGGCTGCCAGGTCTCTTCGTCCGCCGCTCACCGTCATCTTCACCTCCTGTGCTGTTTCAGTCGTTACCTTCACCAGTTTCTCCCATCTCTCCCCTACGTTCTGTCCCTTCTCTCCTCCTGATTCTGTCCACCTTTTGCTCCAATTCTTCTTGAAGTCCTCCGCCCTCTCTTCCTTCCATCTCAGTCGTTTTTGTTGAGTCTCTCTTTTTTCGGCCTTTACTCTCTCCTCCTCGTTCCATTCCACCCTGAATATGATCGGTAGATGGTCTGATCCCTCCTGTTTCCTCATCTCCATGTCCATGAACCAGCTCGGTGCTTCGTTTCCTTCCATCTTGACCAGCACGTAATCCAAGACACTCCCCAGTCCCGCTCCTTCCCCTACAAACGTTATTTTTCCCTCCTCGTCCCTCCTGGCCCTTCCATTTTGAACTAAGAGTGCCCTCTCCTCACACCATTCCATTAGCTTCTTCCCTTCTCCTCTTATCGTCTTGTCTTGTGATTTCCTTTCTGTTAGCCTTATCTCTTCTTTCCATCCGCAATCTGCTACTTCCTGTAGCTCTCCTGATCTTGCATTTAAGTCACCTACGATAATCAGTCTCTCCTCTGACCCCTCCGAGTCCTCCACCAGTTCGTCCATCTTCCCCAGTGCTCTTTTTAAGTTTTTCCTGACGTTGTTGTAGATGGTTATTACCCTGTAACTCTCTCTGCTTTCTCTTTCTTGGATCCTCAGTTTCATTCCATATTCCCATTCCTCTACTATCCAGTCTGCTTTCAATGTCTTCCTTATGCCTACTAGATGTCCCCCGCTGGCCTTTCCCCTCTTATGAATTCTCTTGGCTTCTTTCCCGAACCATTCGAATTTTGAGTTCAACTTCTCCCGCATTCTCTTCATACCTTTCGCCTCCAAATGTGTTTCTTGGAACAAAACGACGTCCGTTGTTTCCCAACGATTCTCATTCTTACCTATGTTTGCCGCGTTTTCCACGTTCCAGTGCCATATCCTTAGCAGCCTGTTCTCCTCGTCTTCTCCTTCTCCTGCCGTTGACTTAAAAGGGCGTTCTCCTTCCCTTCCTTGCCGTGCTCCCTTTCTGTCTCAGTTCCCCCTTCTCCTCATCCCACTCTAGTCCCGCTCCGTCCACCATTAGCGAGTTGTATGCTGTCTTTGCTTGTATGCCTCTTCTTCTCCAATTGCGCGCCTCCTTCTCCAGCCAGGCCTGTACCACTCTTTGCCTTTCTGTCAAGTCGTCCTCAATGTATACCCCCCAACCCATTTCTCCCAGTCTTGTCTTTTCTTTCATCACCATTATTTTCTGATCCAAGTCTTCCACTCTGACCAGCCATCCTCCTTTCTGCCTTTTTTCTAGCCCTTCCACTTTCACTTCTACTCTCAGAGTCTTTTGGAATCAGCGCTCCAGTTCCTCCTTTTTTGATCTGGAGATTAGAGTTAGCCCCTTTACCACCATATTTTTCCTTCTTCCTCTTCTTTCCATTCGTTCTCTCTCCCATTCCTCGCTGAACAGGCCTCTCGGTGGCGGGTTCCGTGCATCCTCCATTTGTTGCTCTGGCTCACTGTTCCATTGTCCCCAATCCTCGGCATTACCTCTTTTCCCACCTTCACTGTTTCTGTTTCCTTTTCCTCTACTACTTACACTCTCGCTGCCACTACTGCTTTCCCTTCTTGTTCCTGTCTTCTCTCTCTATCTAGTGGGTTCCTCCATCTTTTCCTGGGTCTCTTGTGGTCCTTCCCCTTCCCCCCACCCCTCAGTTCCGCTATCTGTCGACTTTCTACCGTTTGTGTTTATCTCTGGACTTTGTGTGGTCTCCTGTCTGCCTTCTAGAATTCTCTCTTCGTTGCTTCTTTTCCTTGTCTTTTTTGCTCCTCATTATGCTTTTTTCTCATCTCAAACTCAGCCTTGTCTTTTTCCTTTCCCACCTGCTCAACTCTTTCGTAATTACTTTCTCCCCAATCCTTCCACCACGTTTGCCTGAAATTCCCCTGCCTTGGTCCTGACTCCTCTGTTCTCCTCTCCCTCTGTCTCTCGCAGTCTTCACATCTCCATCCCTCTCCACCCGGTTCCCTTCCCTCTGTGTTCCTCGTTCCCGTTTCTGCCACTCGTTCCTTCCTGAGTACATACCTCAACTCCGTGCTGAGGACTCTCTTTAGCTCCATTCTCATTAACCCTTCCAGATCTGACATCCTTGGTTCCCATTCCTCCTTCTGTTTTTCCTCCCATTTTTTTAGCCAGCTCTTCATGCTTTCCTGAGTCCACACTTCCTCGTTCGTATCTGCTTCTGACACCCTTTCCTCTGTGCTCTCGTATTCACTGCCTTCCCCTGCTTCTCCACTGCCTTCCCCTGCTTCTCCACTGCCTTCCCTTGCTTCTCTTCCTTTACTGCCTTTTCCAATTTTACGTCCGCCTGGTTCCTGCGCTGTTTCTTCCAAGGCTCCCTTTTCCTGTTCCTCTGACACCAAATTCTCATTCTCTCTCTCTTTCCTTGTTACTGGGGTTCTCTTCAGGTGACTTTTAGTCCCGAGCGTCTCTTTCTCCTCTATTCTTTCCATGTTGAACGTTATCTCGTCATTTTCCTCTTCTGCTTTGCCATCTGAGTCTCTCCTCTCTACTGTTTCCGTTCTATTCTCTGCTTCAGTCGCGTTCTCTCCTTCGACCGCCTTCCCTTCTCCGTTCCCCCAGTAGTCATCCAGTCGTCTTGTTGTCTTCTCCGTCGCCGTACTCGTTGCCTCTACCTTACCAGCCTTGGGTTTCCTGCCTTTTCTTCCCTTTCCTATCCTAGGTGTCTCTACTAATAACCTCTCATTATTTTCTTCCATGCCTCCGTTCTCCTTTTCTTTCTGCTCCCCTCCTTTCCATAGGTTATATCCAACGCCGTCCCTCCCCTCTTGCCCTCCTTCATCGCCCATTTTTTCCTAACCGCCAAATCGCCACTACACTTTATCCACTTCACCTACCTTCTCACCTGCGTTTTCACTCTCAGTTTATTTACTTCCCACTTGCCTTACCTCTTTTTCCACCTCCAGGACTTTCTTACACTATTTTACCTACTGTTTTTTTCGACTTTTTCGTTATTTTCCCTGCTACTATCTAACCACGCGTCTACTCCTCAGCAGCGCCTCCTAGCGTCCCAACTTATCTATATATATTTTTCGTAAAAATTGCTAAACTAAAAATCGACGGATTTTTCTTCTACCCAGTTGAACTCAACTGAAATTTTTCTGAGATTTTTTTTTTCATCCCTTTATAGTTTTTTTTTCAACTAAAGCCTCATATGACATTTCAAATAGCCAATGGATAATATCATCAGTTCCAAAAAAAAAAGCACCTAGAGTTTCTTCTTTAATTTCTTTGTTTTAAGCCAAATGTTTCTCAGACTGCATATAGTCAATTAGCACTCTCTTTACCATGTGAGAGTTGCCTGTTCATAAGTAGAATCACTGATTTTCATGGGCTTCGTTGGCCTCCAATCGACCGTTTTTGTTTTTTTATTTTTATTTTTAAGAATTCTCCATGGAATGAAAGCTCTATTTGTAACGAGCATGAATAATTTTATGGAACTTGATATGCACGTACATGTAATTGGTTCTGTTTCTATTCGAACTTCTATATACAGGGTGTCCCTAAACTGAAGGTCACCATTGTAAGGGTATGTTCGGAGGGTGATTCCTAGGCGAAAAGTCCTGTGGCACTTTTCAATCAGACGCACCCCTGCCGAGTTGGGGTAGTTGAAAATGGGCCAATGAGAGGCGTCCGTTAGCAGAAGGTACGTCCGTGTGGGCGATACGGATGTATTGGTACCACTGAAATGTAGTATATACTACATTTCAGTGATTGGTACCCCTCTCCTCCACGCGCCACTCAATTCCCCCACCGAAAGACGAACGAAAGAGAGAGAAAGGTCGTCTTTTCTCTCTTTACTTTGGAAATTGGGAGACAAAGACCAGAAATTATTTTTTTTTTTACTTGAATTGTTGGACAGAATAAATGCAACAATCACCACCGCGATTTGAAATGTACCCGGGGAAAAAATTTGTGACGACGCAATTTTGTCAAAACGAAAATGAAATGATATACGCCCATTCTTTCGTGCCGAGGACGCGAGAAGGGGGTCGGTACAACTATGCATGCAGTTCGACTTTTCAAACAAATTTTAAAAAATTGAGGATGTTCGATGGTCACACTGAAGGGTTGGAATTAGCGACAAAACAATTTTTTCAAACAAAGAAAAATTAATATCCCATATTTTCTGGGTACTAAGGAAACGGGGGAGGGGAATGATACGCATGCAGCTAGAAATTTCAAACAAATTTTAAAAAATTGGAAAATCCTCCTAAGGGGTTCCAACTGGTGATAAAACAATTCTTTTAAACAAAGAATAATTGGTATCGCCTTTTTTGGTGTCATGGATGCGGGGCAGAGGGGTGTACGCACGTACCTAAAATTTGTAAACAAATTTTAAAAAATTGCACAGGTCCGAAAATTATCCCGAGGGGTTAAAATTAGCGATAACACAATTTTCTAAAGCAATGAAAAATTGACAGACAAAGTCAGTTTATTTTTATGTAAATTTTCATTTTTCCTTGCACACAACAACTTAACTGGTGTATGTTCATATTAATTTAATTCAATACGAATGATTTTCTGTGAATATGAATGTTTTTCTGCATTCCGGGTCATTGCGAAGGGTTCATTCCTTTTGGAACGATTACAGGCGACTTTGGAAAGGGCCTCCTCCTGCATCTAAGCACAGATGACCACGTCGAAGTAAATTCTGGTGAACATCCTGTAACTGCCTTTCTGTGATGGTGACGACAGAACCATGTATTCTGGCAACCAGGTCCTCAGGATTTTGAAGCCCCACCGCGTAAATCTTTTCCTTCATATCCCCCCAAAGGAAATAATCCATTGGGGTCAAATCAGGAGATCTATGCATATGAAACAATAATTCCTTATTTCAAGATTTCGAAGGTCTTAAAAAAAGTATTTTCAAAGGTCTTAATTTGAAACTTGAAATTCTTCCGCTGAGAGTTTCAAAAGTCTTAATTCAAATCTCCTGAAATTCTCAAATTGACTTTTTGGACAGTTGCCATTTGAGACTCCCAAAGTCGCAAGTTTAGAGAGTGGGAGGTTTCAATTTGAAGCTTTCAAAAGTCTCAATTTGTGACTTTCGTTGACTCAAGTTGAGATTTTGAATGCCTCAAGTTCAGAATTCGGGAACTCAATTTGAAACTTTTCTTCAAGTTGAGTTCTGAAAATCTCAACTTGAGATTATTGACAGTGTCAATATGATTCTTTTTTTGCCATTCCCACATAGCCGATTAGGCTTTTTATGGTAACACCCCACCCCGCCCCTTATTGCGGTGTCATGGGCCGATTTCCTCCCCCACCATGTCGCATTGTAATGATATTTTAAATTTTCTTGAAAAACCGATTGAAATTTATTTTCCAAATAATTATCTTTTTTATGCATTGCTTTTCGAACTAAAAAAATTATTAATTGAATAAATAAATTAATTTATTCACCCGCTCGGTTTTTTTATCTGTGGAAAATAGACGTGTCACGTCAAAAATGAACAAAATGACATGAACTTTTAATACGATTAGCTGTTCAAGACCGGATAGGTCACTTTAGCTAGAATTATTACTAAAACCGATTTTTAATATCTCCCAAAGTATAAAAACCCCACTGGAGAAAAGAATAAAAATGCGAACACAATTTTAGTTAAAAAATGACTCTTGAGAGTCTATATTTTAAAAACAAAAAAATACACTGAAAAAAAATTTGAAAGAGAGAGAGACTTACAAATGTTGAATCTCTGCTAAATCCAATGGTTACACAAATTTCACTGTTTAACTTATTGCCGCGTAAACTAATTAGTTTTTTTTAAATCACAATCATTTCACATAAACCTAACACTCGACAGTTACCAGACGGTTACCAAAATTTACAAAGGAAAAGTCNAAAATCACAATGATTTCACATAAACCTAACACTCGACAGTTACCAGACGGTTACCAAAATTTACAAAGGAAAAGTCTCGAAGGACTAAATGAAAATCGAAAGAATTGTCATGAAGGACTGATAATAAAAAAAGGAAAAAATGTCACGAAGGACCAAAAACAAGTCTTGAAAAACTTGTGATAAACTTTAAGAGTTACGGTGGAACTGAGGAATAAAACGACGCGCAAGTAGTTTTGTTCCCTCAGCCTGAGGGTGTGTCCTCAGATACATGGAGGGAAAAATTAGGGGACCAATGGTCGATGACCTTGGGCCCGAATCTTCCCCTCCTTGCACTCCGCTCTCAATGTTTCAGGGTTAACTCCGACCCCTCTACATTGAGATGTCGAGAGTGTGGGCGGACTTTTCCAACCCTCGACTACCAATGAGAATTGTTTCGGGAGGTCCTATTTCCTCCCTCTACAATCTCATTTATTTAAAAAAATNAAAAATATTCAATTATAATTTTAATAATCCAATAAATTCTGGAAAAT